GCCACCTCCTGCAGCAGGCTGACCAGATCGCTGTGAGCACCCAAACGCTGCGCGGCAGGTTCGGGTTGCCGCAGAGCGACTTTCTCTGGGGCGATTGGGCCTTCGAGAGGTTTTCCTTCCAGGGCATCCCCGCGTCGAGGCGACAAAAGGTTATCGTAGAATCGCCTCGTCGTGGGGTTGCCTTGGAAGGTCGAACTCCCGAACGCTCCGCAGGCGGCGATGCGGCGCCTGGAGGACTAGGGGATGTGGGAAAGGAGGTGAGGGGGGTGGTAAGGAGGCGCCGCCCCCTCGAAGAGACAGGCAGACTCTTCCCCTCCACCGTCACCTTTCTTTCCATTCCACTTGGCTTACACTTCGTCTTCCTCTCGCTCCTCCTCTGTTCCTGCCGATTCTCCTCTCCATCTCTCTGCTGAGGAGGCGCGCGCCGCCGTGGGCGGCATCCACGGCGGCGACTCTCTGAGCCGCGCATTTTGATGCGGCCCGAGAAAAAAAAGACGAAGCACATGCAAGCCGAATGTGTTTTTATTGCGTTGATGTTGACATCCGCATGGTGTGAATGCAGGGTATGTAGGTATTTGTTTTAATAATCTCTCGATTATGCAGCCTAAAATGTGAGTTTGTCTTGGGTTGTATTATGTTTGCATGTTTCTTGTATTTTTGTATGTTTGTATAGTATTGCTTGTTGTTGTTTTTTTTTCATAGTGTATCAGGCATTTTCTTGAAATATTACTATAAAAATGTGTATGGCGTTTTTTTTTTTTTTTGGTATTTTGTGTTTCCTTATTGGTTTGAGCATGCCCCAACGTCAACACATTGGAACATATGTTCGGCTTGCAAGGGCAACGGGAAGAGGAGCTGCGAGGAGCCGGGGAGGCGACGCCTCCTTTATTCTTGTAATGGGAGCATTTCCTCCTGTGCTGGAGGCTCAGCCTCCAGGAGAAGAGAAGATAAGATAATGTTGAGCTTTTGAGAAAACATAAGAGGAGCTTCGCGCTGGACGTGCCAGCGAAGAAACTGCCTGTGTCTGACCTTTGCCGCGGCCCTCAGAAGTTCGGCGCCATGATCACCTGGCGCCTGGGCAGGGGCGAAAAGAAGAGAGAAGAGGGACAGAAGAGCGCGGATGAGGGGGGAGGAAGTGAGAGGAGGAGGAATAGGAGGGGGGCGAGCGCCTGATGGGGAAGTACCACATCTGCACGTTCTTGTCAGCGTTCCACTGCTGGAACGTCCACAAGTCCGCTTCGCACGCGCGGCGGCCGACCTGGGAGGAAGGGGGGGGGTGCAGATTAGAGCATAGGTGAGCACAAGTGAGGAAGGAGAGATCGGGCCTGGTAGTGCGCCAGCCGCTCCCCTTTCTTCCACGCAAGCTCCAGCGCCTGCGCCGGGCCGTCTGGCACGGTGATCCACCCCTCCTGCTCAGGTTCCTCTGCGAGGGCGGGCGCAATTCAAACGGTTTCCCTTCCCCTCCCCTTCCTCGTTCTCTCTGTGTCTTTCTTTCTTTTTGTTTTGTTCCTCTCTCTCTCTCTCTCCTTTCTCTCCTCTCTTTTTTATTTTTTTGTTTTGTGTTTATTTGTTTTGCGCTGGTGTCCTGGTGCGCCCAGTTCACTTGTGCTTGCGGCGCCCCCTGTTTCTTGTTGCGCTCCTGGAACGGCGCCGCCGCGGCGTCTTCCTCCGCCTGGCGGCGCGAGAACCCCGCCCAGCACGTGCTCACCTGCGACCCAATGGCTCGAAAAGGCGCCGAGAACTGGAACAACTATTACAAACTCAGCTGATTGAGCCCTCGGCGCGCGGGCGGGGAGGGGCGGGGGAAAGGAGCGAGGTTGGAGGATGGGCGAAGAGAAGGAGGCGACGCCTCCTGCGTCGCGCGGCCGCGGAGGGCAGGCGCTGGAGGCAGCGCCTCTTCCTGGCGGGAGTCCGCGCCTCCTCGTTTATTATGCAGGCGCCGCCTTTATGTCCGTGTATGCAGCAGCCGCGTCCGAGGCTCGAAATTCCATTTTCCCATAATCCCCTGTGTTTCTCCTGCTTCCACAGAAGATTTGGCAGATGCTGTTGTTGATTTCGCTCGTGAGCTCTCTTGCCTCGAGTGCCTACTCGATGTGCACGGCGCCAAGGGCAAAGGGAAAATCAAAGGGCAAAGCAGAGGGGGGACCGAAGGGCCAGCCTCCAGCGAAGAGCCCGCCTCCAGCGAAGGCACCCGCAGGATACGGCTTGGCCGGGAAACCGAAGGGCCCGCCTCCAGCGCAGATGCCTGGAGGAGACGGCCCGCCCCCAGCGAAGAGCCCGCCCCCGAAGGCCAAGAAGAGCTCGCCCCCCCCGCCGCCAGAGCCCCTCACGAACGCGCAGACCACGCACCTCGTGAACCACCTCCGGTACAACGCGAAGGATGGCAATGCCCAGAGCGACTACGGGAAGGAGCGCATCATCGCCCTTGCAACGTTCAAGCAACTGGGCGAGCAGAAGCGGAAGGAGTTCTACGACGCGTTCATGACCGACAAGGAGAAGGCCGAGAAAGACGCCATGAGGCTGAAGGGCCTGACGCATTCCTTTACAGCCGTTTATGAGTCCTCGAAAAAGGAGTCGACAAACAGCAGACAGAAATGGGTCACAGTCACGCAGCTGATGCCGTAGTTCGGTGTCAACCTGGGGAACTTTCCCACCGCGTCGGCGGGGCGCGATTGGGCTCGCAACAAATGGCGCAAGAACGCTGAGAAGCACGAGGCGGCATAATCCCACCCGCCCCAGATGGACACGGAAGAAATCATAATTGCATTGTATTTTTTTGGTGTTCGACGATGGTCTGCAGACCGCAGCTGGGGAGAGGGCGGGAGAGCAGTGGGCCCCATGCAAATATTATGGGAAGACGAGCAAGGGTGCGCTGGAGGACATGTCTCGGGGATCCGCGTCTGCGGGGCAGGCGGGCGGCGACGCGAAGATCAAGAACCAAGAGTACCGCGACTTGTCCGAGAAGAAAGACGAGCTCAGGATGGGAATTCATCAAATTCTCCCTGCAACTTCCACGCATTGCCCCGGCCTCCTCCGCCCCCCCCCCCCCCCCCTCTCATGCCCCCCCTCTGTCCCTCCTGCCCCCCCGCGCCGCCGCGGGCTGAAGGCGGCCGCCCTGCAGAGGCAGCAGAAGGACATGAAGGAATGGATGCTGAGTTTCGATGCCAAGGCGAAGAGAGACGACGATGCCAAGTGGCGCGCCAACGGCGACGAGATCAGGCCCGCGCACAAAGCGCTGCGCGACTTCCTCGACGCTGCAGAGCTCCTGCTGGCCGAGGCGGCATGCACTCCCGAGGACGAACCCGACGACGAGATGATGAGGAAGGCGAGGCATGCGTTGTCAGACCAGGTCATGCTCGCGGAGAAGCACTTGGAGGGCGGCAAGATCAGCGCGAAGCATTGGAACGGCGTCGAGCGAGCGGCCCGCGGAAGGGGGAAATGGAGGGAGGGGGGGGGGGGGGGAGAGGGAGGAGGGAGCGGGGGGGGGGGAATGGGGGGGGGGGGCGAGGGGAGTCCGGGCGCGGGGGGAGGGGGGGGGGGAACGAGCGAGCAGCCACGGGCAGCGCCCCCGCCAGCACACGAAAGCAACTGCCTGCGACTGCGGCTGGCCGACAAAAAAAAAAGCGCGGCGAAGCGAGGAGGCAAGGCGCCTCCTGCTGCACGCGCCGCTTCGCGCGACAGCGCTGTGTCTGGCGGGAGATGTCGCAGCTCATGGGAACGCGTGGAGGCGAGCTCTCCCGCTGCGGAATGGGAGGGGCAAGGAGGCGCTGTCTCCTGTGTTGCGCGCGTTCGAAGTTCGAGTTTCGGACTCCGAACCTCGAAATTGGAATTTCGAATTGAAATTGACCCCCCCCCCCCACCCCCTCCTGCTTCGGACGCCGCCGTCGCCCGAAGCTGTTTGCCAGGCGACGGGCGCCTGGCGGGCCGCGGGGCGGGCGCGCCGCCATGTTCTCGAAGCGCCAGCCGGCGGTGGGCGCCAGCGCGCCGCCGCCTGCAAAGCGCTTTCGCGCCACCTTGCAGACGCACATGATGAGGAATGCTCTGTCCTCGGGCGACATGCAAAGGCTCGCCGCCGACGCCGGGGAAGGGGGGGCCGCGGGCGCTGGGGATCTGAGAGGGACGCGCCAACACTTGCAGGACCTCACGGGGGGGGGGGGTCTCAAGGGAACGTTGCGGCCGAAGGAGTGCGCGGCAAAGGTCCGCGTGTGGAACGCCAAGCGTCATCGAGAAGAGACAAAAGAAGTGCCCCTGTTGCTACCGCACGAGATCCTCCTGGCGCTGGGCAAGCACGGCGACCTGCACGTGCTGCTGCAGAAGCAGGAGCTGGATGAGGGCGACTGCGCGCACATGCAGGGCGTGGAAGGGAAGCTGGGCAGCCCCGCGGTGGCCATCGGCCTGTGGCAGGACGGGCCCCCCACCAAGCGGGGCAGATCTGCGTCGGTCGAAGTCCTCAGCATGAACTTGCCTGGCCCTGATCCCGACGGACCCTACGGCAACATGAGAACCCCGTTGTTCAGCATTTTGTAGAGCCACTTGTCCACGAACACCTGGCGCGACATCTTCGGCATCATACAATGGAGTTTTCTGTGTTCGTGGAGAGGCTTCTGCCCGCGAGAGCGGCGCGACAAGACGCCTGTCTCGCACTCCTCGGATAAAGCTCAACAAGCGTGGGCCGACCGCAGGACCCTCGAGGGCCCCCCTTGCCAGCCCGCGTTGCCCTGGTGCAGTTTCGCGCGGGTTGGAAAGCGCGGAAAGAAGTTTTTGTTCTTCCCCCGCCTGGAACGAGGGCTCTGGGTGCTGCTGGGGGCGCAACATTATCCCGGGGAGGCGACTGGCCCCGCGCAAACACGGAGGGGGGACGAGGAAAAGGAGGAGGAAGAACAGGAGGAGGGGGAAGGAGGAGGAGGAGGAGGAGGAGCAGGAGGAGGATTTCTTGGTTACACCTGGCTTTGTTTCCGTGCCCCCTGTTTCCTCCCCGCTCTCCCTTGCGCGACCCCCAGGTGGCGACGCAGACGTCGACGAGTTCTCGGTGGACGAGGCCAACGAGCAGGCGCTCGCTGCAGGACGTGATCGCCATCATCCTGCGCAACGCAGGCCGCGTCGCGCCTGCGCTGAGTATCCCTGGCGTCACGATCGACGTGTTCAAGGTCGACTGGTTGCACGCCGTGGACCAAGGTGTCGGGGCGGATTTCGTGGGGGCCTTGCTCTGGCACACCATGGAGAAGCCCCCAGGGCGCCGCCGCGCGCAACAGAGCGACGAGATGTGGAGGCCCATCCAGGCACACTGCGACGCGCGCTCGACGCCCGACCGCCTCCACGACTTCAAGGAGCGCACGGTGAAGCCCAAGAAAGCGCACCCGAAGTTCCGCGGCCAGGCGGCCATCCTGAGGCATCTGATCCCATTCTGCAAGGAAGCGACCGAGACGCATTGCGTTTCTGGGAGTGCCGTGGACGACGCCGCGCTGAACGCCATGCGCCACTTGCACTCCTGCTACCACACGTTGAGCGGCCAGTGCATCTTCAGAAAGGATATGATGCGCGACTCCGCCAGCAGGTTCGCGACCTTGTCTGCCTCTCTTGCTGCGCTGCAGCCGAGGAGTTGGCGCGTCAAGCCGAAGGCGCACCTGCTCCTCGAGATGGCCTTCGCGGGGGGGCAGCCGTCGCTGTGCTGGGCCTACAGGGGCGAGGACTTCGGGGGCAGCGTGGGCCACGTGGCGAAGAGGCGCGGCTCCCCGCTCTCAGCGACGGGCTTCTCCCGAGCGGTGATCGCGCGCCACCGCGCGCAGCTGATGGCGCGGCTCGCGTGACAGCCGCGCGCGCGGGCAGAAAAAGTGCACGCGCCACAGCGCTGCGGAGGAGCGGCGCCTCCTGCTCCACCAGGGCGCACGCGCCCTCCACAAGGGGTCGCGCCTCCATTTTCGAATGCTTCACCGTGTTTGAGCATGCGTCGACGCTGATCGTCGCTAAAATTTAGCGTCGACGCTAAATTTTAAGGATGGTAACTTTAAGGCCGACTACGAAATAAGCAGCTGCACTAAATAAACATGGATGGATTTACATGGCGGCGTCTGCTCGGCGGCGGCGACAAGGGGCGAATAGCCCGGGGGCGGGCATTGCACGCATTTGCTGGGGAGCCTCACCCACAGGAATGGGTCGTCGGCGCCCCTGGGCTAGTCGCCAGCATTGTCGCCTCCGACCTCTTCCATGGGAACCTGCGCTGCCCCCAGCGCTGTCAGATTCGGGCTGATTCCGATCAAATCTGGAACGCACTTAAAAACTGAATTGGACCGAACCCGCCCCTTCACGATGGAGGCAAGAAGAACGAGTATGGGGGGAAGAACAGAAGGGCGAGAAGTAGCAGGAAGAACGGCCAAGCGCGGTCCGACTGCTGTCCACATGCAGGAAGACGGTGGCCAAGACTGACGTCGGATCTCTGGGGCGAGCCCCGAGGATGCGATCGGCCGCGGGGGCGGAAGCACGGACCAGCGCGATGGCGCAAGGCAAGGGGGGCGGGGAAGGCACGAGGACAAGCCAGCAGGAAGGACAGAGCAACACGCGCAAGCAAAAACCTGGGACGTCCGCGGACAGCAGACGTCCGCCGGCGTGCGATGCGGGGAGGGGTTGGGCGCTGTCGGAGATCTGCTCTCGGCGGGCTTCCGATGTGTTTCCCATGCGTGTGTCCTCTTCCTCCTCCTCCCCCCCTCCTCCTCCTCCCCCAGGTCCTCCTCCTCCTCCTCCTCCTCTGGAGCCTCGGAAAGGTCGATCCCGCGGCGAACCGCAAGAGGGCCGAGTCAGGGATATGTATCCTGGGAGGGGCTAGCGCACAAAGAAAGGTCTGCCAACGAACTCCTTGGTTGTCGGGTTCTTCCCTGCCTTGAACTGCTCGAGGGCCCTCCCGCCCCGTTCCCCAGGTTCTGGCGGCGGGCAGCGGGCGGCCAGTCCTTTGGCCTGGCCTGTCGCGTACGAGCCGCACTTGTTGCAGTAGTACGTCTCGCCCGCCACCCGCAGTCTGTGGGATTCGTGAGACCTACTTACAATCTTGGGCACCCCAGGGCACAACTCGCTAGTTATCCTGTTCCGACGGCTAGATGATAACCCACAAGTCCTACAGCCCCAGAGGTCCCCTACATGATGGACAAAGTGCCCATCATCATCCTTCACGAGCCTACTAGTACACACGAGGCCGCCTCCAACTTTCACGGGGGGGGGGGGGATGTCTGGCTTGCAAATGTATGGAACGTCTGGAAGCCCTGCGCGGCTCAGTTGATACAGTGTACCACCCAGCAGACGAGTGAACTGCTTCGCGTACTCCTCAGCACTCCTCAAGCGGTCCCGAAGATGTGGGATATTGGGATGTTGCATGGTTCCTATCTTGGCACAATTATCAGCAACCGAGTTGCCTGGGAGCCACCGGTCTGGAGGCCCTTCTGAGCCACGCCCGAGACTCATGCGACGGCACCCAGACAACATCAACGTTTTCACGCCCGATATCCCCCAGCTTCCAACAACAATCAAACTCCAAATCTCGAAGTAGGGTTGGGCTGGGTCACGCATGATTTCTGGCCCTTTGTCCAGGCCCTTGACTATTTTGCAGTGGTCTGTTACCGCCGTGGCCGACGTGCCCATGAGGCACAAACGCATGTGAAGCGCGCAATGCTCTGCCATACCTGCCGACTGAACTGGCCCAGGAACAAGCCCGCATGCAGCAGCTGATGCTTCCTACCTGGGCCCAGGGGCCAAGGAAATCGCCGCCCGCCCTGGGCGCGCTCTCCAGTCAACCGTCGGATCAAGTCCAGAGCCACCGATAAAGATTTCACCCCCAAGGTGTCCTGAACACTCAAGCCTCCGAACAAAACCTGCTTCTGGTCCCTGGAGAGGAAGCGGAAACTCCTCTCTCTTGCTAGAAGTAACTCCAAACTCCACGAGTGGACAATCTCCAGCATCATGGTAGATGGAGTGAATATCTTGAACTCCTTGGTCTCGCCGCCATGCAGCAAGTCCATCGCAGCCATGTGACCTGTGTCCGATCGTTCCTGGCGCCTGGCAGCACCAAACGCATGCTGGCTCCAGCTCATACCTTTCCGTGAATAGCTTCGCGGGAGTCCAGAGCCCACCAGAACAATGGGCTACGACGAGATCGGCCTGGATGCCCCCCCCCCCCCCCCCCCCGACCTCTCATTCTGCGCAGCTCGTCCAGGGCGGGTTCGGACTACGGGGTGCTGCCCCAGCCCAAGTGTTTTGCTGCTTGTTGCTGTTGCTTGTGCCGTATCGTGCGGTGAACCAGTGCCTTGAGCCTGCGAGTCCCCATGCTGGTGAGGTCCACGCGCAAGCCCTGGGGGTCCCTCCAGTGTGCGTAATCAATCACCGTCCGGCCCAGACTTCTGAGCGTTTGTGCTGCCGCACCTGCTGGCCCCGTGACCGACGCCCATCCAAGATGGGCTGATGCCGGCGCCGCGGGACAAATTGTCTGCATGACGCTGTCTGCGATACACTGCTGGCGCAGCGCCATCAGCCACGTAATGGGCGGGAGGGCGTTGCCGGGGTAGGAGGGGTCAAGGTAGGGAGGGTCTGTGAGGAGATACTGCACGGCCCGAGATCCCCCCTTCGCTTTCCCGAACATCGCGCAACCTGCAACGGCTCTGAGATCGGACAGCCCAGAGTGATTCATCCCAAAGACTCTCGCCCCATACGTAGCCGCCGCGATACCACCTCCCCTAAAGACTCTGGTGAGTCTTTCTTGTGATGCTTCAAGAACGCGGAACGGTTAGCTCGCATCCGAGCTTCCAAGACACGCCTCCGAAGGGCGCGATTTCCTCTCCCTCGCCTGCCTGCCGAAGTCGCGACCTGCGTTCTTGGCCGAGTCATAGGCCTTGAAGCTGTGCGTGGCCAGCGCTCTCTGGAGATTGGCGGCCAGCTGGCGGCGGAAGGCGACGAGCTGGCCCTTCTTCCGTGAGACAACCATACTCACGGCCTCCAGCCTGGAACATAATTGCGCCACTGCTGCCGAGGGCGTGACTCGACATGATTCATGGACCCATGGCCTCAATCGCAACGTCGTCAACCACCGCATCACGCCCCAAGGAGGCCGCCCACCGAGATCTCATACATTCCAAGGAATCTTGCAACACCACTCTCAACAACGCAGTTGCAAACGTACACCCTGCAACGATGGAAAGCGCAAAACCTGATATATCCGAAACTACTTCTTCGATCTTGATGCGCCGCGGTCCACCGTAGACCTTCAGCAGCAAGCGAATGCGGCGAACGTTAAAGTTGCGATCCACATATGCCTGCCGCAAAACGTCGCGCATAATCTGGTCGTAACGCGTTTCCATGCCCGCGAGAGCAGATGCGGGCGACGTTCCTATTGTTCGCACTGCCTCTCCTACTGCTGCTCGCTGCCATATCGCTCTCTCGCGGCTTTTCCCCCTGGCCCCAGAGGCGCAATCTAGATGGCGCTCAGCTTCTCATTTGCTTGCTTCGTGGCGTCTAAGCTTCGCTAAGACACGTGCTGCTGTTGCAAGTGCCCCAATAGGTCTGTATCCTCCATCAGGTTTGTTTAGAAAAGCCAGAAGCACATGGTTGCACTGCTCAGGAACCAAGAGGCGCGACTGCATGCGCGAGAGAAACTCGACATGCGCTGCGAGCGCGCCGTCGCTCAAGAGCTTGAGCGAGTTCGGGTCCACCCGTGGATGCCAATCGCCGCGTTCTTCTTGAACTTCTTTAGGGCTTCTCTAACCTGGTCTGCCGTGGGGGCTGGAAGGGGGCTCTCCCAGAGGTAGACCTCATTGCTCAGCAGTTAACCGGGAGGGTCCACCTTCGTGCAATTTATTCTTCCATTCTTCTAGTAAGGACTCCACCCTATCAGCTTGCCCAGCAGGTCCCCGCTGGGGCCCCTTGGGATCTGGGGCCCGACCGATAGGTTCCTTAGTATACGGGTATACTGCACCTCCTCCTTTCTTGATAGAATCTCCCACCCGCTGCCTCCAAACTCTAGTTTTAGCCCTAGTTGCACAGGATTCGACGACCGCTGCAAACTCCTGGACCTGGCGCCCGATCTCGACCAGGTCATCGAGGTCCACGCCCTCGCCTAAGACTATCTGCGAGTGAGAAGCCTGCCACGCTGGAACGACGGCAAGGCGAGGCCGGGCACTGAATACTTTAACTGCGACGTCCTGGGCCCCTCGAGTCTACCCAAGACAAGCTCCACAGGGTAGTGGGTTTTGGATGCGCCTGGATGCGCCTGCAGCTCCGAACCGATCCCAGGAGATCATGCGATACCACGAAGAAATCTAACTCCCCCCAGAGATTCCCGATTCTGCAAAAGGGTTTATTACCATCGACGACCGCCCCCCTGAGTTTCGCAAGAACCGGAACCTTCTGGACTTCGCTCGGAGTCGGATTGAAATCCGCTGCGATGACGAACGGCTTCTGAGACGCAAGCAAGAATTCACCCACCTGGCTCAACATCTGCCTCCCTTTGAACCCCTCGGCTCCTTCTCCAACTGGAAATACATGCCAATCGAATAGAAACCGCCTCTCACGCAGCCATTGGCCCAGACAGCGGGGCTACGAGTGTGCAGCAGGTGCATATGGTGCTCAACAGTTTCACTTACTGCAACATGATTCTGGACGGCAATAGCCACGCCTGCGGATACGCCAGATGCGCCAGGGAGTCTGAGCTTCCAGCCTTCACTGGTCATCGTCGACCCCTTATGAGCAGCACTCGCCTTCAAAACTTTGCATTCCTGTAGACGCACCGCATGCGCCCCTCGAGTGTAATCATCCGTCAGAAGATGTACTGCTCCACTCCAACCCGAAGTACTGGCAGTGACGATCCTCCATGTAGCGGCCGAACTAGTAGAGGCACGCGGCTGTGCAGGCCCGCCGTGAGCATGTCGCCCACCAGGGCTAGGAATGCGCATTCGCCTCTGCGTCGCCGGTGGCCTTGCCCTTCTGGTCGCTGGCCCCCTTGACCCCGCCTTTGGCCAAGAGTGTGGCCGCCTTCTGACGCAGCGCCGAGCCTCGCTGGCCCTTGCCAGCTCCAGCACCGACATGTACATCAACCGAGGCCGTCGATGCCGAACTTGATGCTGCCGTACCTCCTGTTGGGGCTTCCGCGCCCTGCTGCCCTGGGTCAGCTCCAGCTTCTCCATCAGTGCGTCGCCTCTTCCCTGCCACTCGGGCCTTGAGGGCCTCTTGTTCTCGCTGACATTATTATGTTTTTTGCTTGGGGTGCCCAAAGAGCTCCATGGCGAGGTCTCCGAACTGGGTCTTGAGGCGGGCCTCCCTCTCCCAATCCTCTTTGAGGTCTGGTTCGGAAACGTCAATGTAATCCTTGGGTCCGAATATGCCCTCGCCGCAAGATGCTCATTGCCGTTGAGGATGTCCTCGAAGTACAAGACTGGTTTGGCCTTCTCCTGCGGATTGGCCACCGTGCCGTGCAGCTCGGTGATCGCCTCCTTGCATTTCTCCTCCTGCTTGCCCAGGTTGTCGAGGGTCTCCTGGACCAGCTTACCCTGCTCCTCGACCTTCCGGTGCAATTCCTCCAGGGCGGCCGCTTGCTTGAGCAAGTCCGCCTCGAGGCTCTGAATGAGGCGATGGCTTTGGTCTGCGCGGACCTGTGGAACCACCTCCGATCTGTCCTTGGTGAGTAGGACATGTTGGCAATATTGTGCAAGATCATTGTTCTTCGATTTCTCGGCCAAGCTGATGAGTTGCTTAACCTCATTGATGTCCAGGTCTGGCACTGGATCCTTTCCTCCCTGCAACCCGACGGATAGTGATGCCCCCTATAGCAACGCCACCCAGGCGAGGAGGAACATCATACTCATTGTGTTGATTATCCTTCTCACGTCCTTTCCGTTTGCTCTTGAAGCCCCCCGTCTCCCAGTGCTTGCCAAAGTGTTTGCAATGGGCCACCGATACGAAGTTCTTTGCACACCCACACTCCTGACAGCTCCAAGTAGATTGATTGCCGTTCCACTGCGTGTAGGAAGTGGGTGTCATCATATGCTGTACGGTCTCGGGCTCTGGTCCTGCACCACGTTGAACCCCAACCCCAGGGAAGGCGAAGGCCCCAGGCAATGGCTTGAGCCAGGTGGCTACGGATCTCCTCCTCCTCCTCCTCCTCCTCCACAACTACTCAATATAAAAACTACTCTCCCTCTTCCCCTGATGACGTCTTGGGAGCAGCCGCCCCCCCCCCCGCGTACTGTTTTTTTACACAGAAGTTTCCCCTGAATTGGGTTTTCGCCTGCATTTGATCCTAAAATGCTGCTCTCGCTGGGGCGCCGGCCTCACTTTCGGGCCCCACTCGTTCCGAATCGTGCTCCCGCTGCAGCGCTGGCATCATTTCCGCCGGCGCCCGGGCTGCACGCCTGAGCCGGCGCCCAGGCCGGCGCTCGGGCCGGGTCCGGATCCGGTTCCGGCCGCCGCCGGAAAGTAGAGTTCCGAGGCGGCGCCGAAAAATGACCATTCTATAATACACATTTTTCTTTTGAAAATGCTGAATTTCTGCTTCCGGCGCCCGGGAGGCCTCCCGGGCCGATTCCGACGCCCAGGCCGGCGCCCGAACCGGCGCCTGGCTGGCGCCCGGGCCAGCGCCCGGGCCGGGTCCGGAGCCGGTTCCGGCCGCCGCCGGAAAATCGAGTTCCGAGGCGGCGCCGGAAAAAGGCCATTCACATTTTTCTTTGAATGTCTGCTTCCCGCGCCCGGGAGGCGATCCTGGGCCGATTCCGACGCCAGGGCCGGCGCCCGAGCCGGCGCCCGGGCCGGATGCCCGAGCCCGCGCCCGGGCCAGCGCCCGGGCCGGGTCCGGAGCCGGTTCCGGCCGGCGCCGGAAAATCGAGTTCCGAGGCGGCGCCGAAAAAAGGCCATTCCAATACACATTTTTCTTTTGAAAATGCTGAATTCCTGCTTCTGGCGCCCGGGAAGCCTCCCAGGCCGATTCCGGCGTGCTTCCGCTCGTTCTGAATCGTGCTCCCGCTGCAGCGCTGGCCTCATTTCCGCGCTTCCGCTCGTTTCGACTCGTGCTCCCGCTGCAGCGCTGGCGTCATTTCCCGTGCCATGCCACGGCATGCAATGCAATGCTAGGTTGATACTACGCTTTGCGGTGCTGTTCTGCTTCTGCACCATGCCACGCCGCGCTCTACAATGCACCACGTACCCTTTCGGGATCATTGCCCTGCTCGACATCCGACTGTGCGAGTAGAGAGGGGATCTGCGCCATGGTAAGGGATGGGAGGGAGGGGTAGGATGTCAGATATGACGCGAGCGCACCTAGCTTGCCCTCCCCCTCTCCCTCTCCTCCCTTCTCCCATCCTTGCCTCTGCCCTTCGCGCAAAGCAGCAAGTCCGGCACAGCCCTCCCACGTTTCGTGGCACCATATAGAGATCCACCCAACGCCCAACTGGTGCCACCTGCATAAATCCAGGGCGCGCATTTCGGCACACCCTTCAAACGTTTCGTGGCCCCATAGGGAGCTCCACCCAAGGCCCCACGTGGTGCCGTCCGCATGCATCCCCGCCACCGATTTCGGCACACCCCTCGCACGTTTCGTGGCCACACAAGGAGCTTCACCGAATGCCCACATGGTGCCGCCCGCATGCGTCCCCGCAAACCATTTCGGCACACCCCTCACACGCTTCGTAGCCCCATAGGGAGCTCCACCCAAGGCCCCACGTGGTGTCGCCCGCATGCGCCCCCGCCACCCATTTCGGCACACCCCTCGCAATTTTCCTCGCAAGGCACCGAATACTTAAGCGGCACCCTCCACCAGTTAAACATTTAGTGCCCCCGCGGGGAGCCCCACCGGCGGCTCCAGTGGCGACGTATGCATGCGGTCCCCCCCCCATTTCGGCACACCCCTCACACGGCTCGTGGCCCCACAGGAAGCCCCACACAATGTCCCAATGCCACTGTTCGCATATGTTCCCCCCCAAACCTATCCCCTGACATGTTTCCCACGTTTCGTGGCCCCAGAGGCAGCTCCACCAAGGCCCCATGAGGAGATCCACTGAAGGCGATATTCACATCGACGGTACTCACAACTGCATATGTTTTGGATTCTTCGCCAAGCGAATTGCCTCTGTGATCCGATCTGGCCTCTGAGCCGGTGGAGGACGCGTCACGCGAATGCATTGTTCGGAGTCCCTTCGGAGAGGTACGGACGACTGACAGGAGTACCGCCAGCGGGGATGTATACGCACTGAAGACAGGACTGATCGGTCTTGGAATGGTATTCTCTAAGTTGCCTCTGAAGCGGCGCGACCGCCCAAAAAAGGTCCGCTAGACGACCCTCCCTCCTCCTATCCGCACCCGCCCTGGATATGCTGCCCCTGGCACTGACATGGGCCTCAAAACGCTCAGTCGGCGGAAGCGATGGAAAGCTCAAGGGATGCGCGCAAGGGATGCGCTCATAAGTTTACATGTATGGAGAAGGGGGGGGGGCGAGGCCCAAAGGGAAATTTGAACTTTACGCACGTCGTGACACACTTGCACGCCTTTCTGGCCCAGCATTGATTGAAATGGCGGTGGAGGGCGGGGGCGAAGTGCCACGCAAGTAACCTTGCCAGAGAGTGGATAGCGCGCCCTTTCGGCGAGGCGGGGCGGGGTAGAGGTCTGGGGTCTGGGTAGGATGGCCGCGGGCCGGCGGGTGGCGGCAGAAGCGGCGCGCGCGAGAGATACAGAGAGAAAGACGGCCCGCGGCGGACGCCTCCCCGTTGCCGAGGGTGAACTCCAGCACCTGTGGTGGGTAAACATTAAATGGTCGGTGAAGGAGGTTGGACTGTTAATTGTCTTGTCTTGTATGCTTAATGCTGCTGTCGTTGCTGTCGAGCTCTCATGTCTGAATATCCGCCACCGTGGCCCTGAGTACGGAGTGGGCGTGTCCTCAGGTCCTTTCCCTGATCCCCTGAGCCTCAGGCTTCAGTCCTGAGGAATCTCCTCAAGGCCCGGCCCAGCTTCTCAAATATTCTTGGGCTTAGCGCACAAGAGTGCGGGCCCGGAATTCCCCAAGAGGCCCTCAGGCCGGCCCAAGAGGGCCCCGAGTTGCCGATAGCTCCAACACGCCAAAGATGGCATTCAGTCGGGCCTCCTACAAGGGGATTTTTGACGAAAAATTTAAAATAGTCAACAAGTGCTCCAAAATTGTCAAAAGATCGGGAGCGGCCAAGAGGGGGGTGTCCAAGACGGGGGGGTGCAAATCATGACCGGCGGCATGTGCGCGGCCCCGCGGGGGGACCTGGGACGTAATAAAATAAGAAGAGGCGCCATGAAATCTGAGGAAAAATCATGGCCCGCGCCATGAAATCCACCCCCCCCTAGTCATCACCCCCCTCTTTTCCGCTCCCGAAAAGAGGGCCCCGCGCTGCCGAAAGATCGCCCCAATACGCCCAAGATGGCCCCAACACGGCCCAAAAAGGCCCCCCAAGACGCCCCAAGAGTGTCCCGAGAGGCGTCCCAGAGCACAAGACGCAGGCATCGTTGATTTTCGTTCAGGAGTTTGAAGGCCTTTGGTCGTCTCGCCTTTTCGCCTCTCCGACACTCCATGACGGACCAGAAGACTCCAAATATCGCCTCCCGACGGCCCAAGAGGCCTCCGGGAGGCCCCCAAGACGGCCCAAGAGGCCCGCAGACGGCCCAAGAGGGCCCCAAGACGGCCCCAAGAGGGGGCCCAGATGGGGAGCCCGAACAGACATTTCGAGCCCTCGGCCCGGAGGGGACCCAAGGGGGCTCCAAGAGGCCCCAAGAGGCCCCGAAGAGGCTCCAAGAGGCCCCCAGCCTGGCCCCAAGAGGCCCACATGAGGCCTCCAAGAGGCTCCCAAGAGGCCCCCGAGAGCGCTCCAAAGAAGCATCCCTGAGAAGTTTGACCCACAACCCAGACACGGTGGCGGGGCGGGCCGAAGGCCATTCGATCCACCGCCCCCTGTTGGCTTGCCACAGGGGTGCCAGGCGTGCTAGGCCCTAACCCACTTGGCTTTCGTTTTTTCCAAAGAACTCTGGCCCAACGCACCGGCCACACGGAAGGGAACGGAAAGCACCTCAACGTGCGCAAAAATCCACCAAGACGGCTCAATATGGCCTCCAAGGGGGCAAGGTGGTTTCCAAGTTCGCCCAAGAAGGTCCAAGATGGCCTCCAAGACGGCCCACGAGAGTCCGATATGCCTCTGAGTCCGTCCAAGGAGCCTCCAAGACGGCCCAAGACAGCCCCGTAAGGCTTCCAAGACGACCCAAAAGGCCTCCAAGAGGTCCTCCAGGAGGGCCCGAAGAGGCCAAACTTATTGACTTCCCGTATGTGTTTGAAGGATTTTACCTTTTGCTTCTTTTCGGCCTTCCGACGGCCCAAGATGGCCCCAGACTGCCAAAGAGGCCTCCAAGACGCCCAACATGGCCTCCAAGACGGCCTTGAAGCGCCCCAAGAGGGCCCCGAATCGGTTCAGAGAGGCATCCAAGTCTGCTTCCGACAGCGTCAGACGGGCCGGGAACGCCCTAAGACGGCCCAAGAAACCTCTCAGAAGCCTCAAAAGGCCCCCAAGAGGCCTCCAAAAAGGCCCGCAGGAAGCTCCCAGGAGACCCCAAGTGTCCTCCTTCTCCTCTTCCTCCTCATCATTCTCAGCCTCCTCCGCCTCCTCTCATCTTTCTCAGCCTCCTCCGCCTCCTCTTCCTCCTCATCCTCCTGCCCTCCTCCGCTTCTTTTTTGACCCCCGCGTGTTCCCCGCAGTGCCAACAACGGCTGTGGGAACACATGGTCCGATGCTTGGCAGAGCCCTGGCCACAACTTTCGGCCACAGGGGCGATTCCGAAAGGCAGGGGGCGGCGGTGACTCGCTGCATGCGTCTTCGATTAAGTATAGTTGATCCCCCCTCAAGTGATCATTGAATTCGTAAGTCGAAGTGCCCCTCCCGGGGCTCGCACCCCGTTTTTTCTAACACGGGGGGGGGTCTTGGGTCTGCGAGCTGCGGTGTTGGCCCCCGAACTACTACAACAGCGGCTCCCGCCGGGTGCTTTCTCGCAATGGATTAAAACCCTCGCTCTCGCGCGAGAAGTTCTTTCGATTTGCCCAGGACTCGCGCTCTCGCTCTGGACTTCCTCACGGTTAATGGGGAATCGTGCTATCGCGAGAGGCTTTCTGGCGATTCGTGCGAGACGCACGCTTCAGCGACACTGCCGCCCGACCCGCTCGTTGGGGACCGCAGTCGCCCCTCGCTGCCCTTCGCCCGCCTTGGATGCTACTCGCTGCCCTTCGTTTTCCTGGAATCGTCTTTCGCGGCTCAGTCGCTGCCCTCGTGGCCCCCTCGATCCGCGGCGTGGCCTCCCTTCCCGCACTCCTTCCTCCTCGCTCTCTCTCTCTCTCTCTCGCTTTATTCATGTATCCCTCTTCTTCCTGTTTTAGGGGCTGCGCCGTCTAACAGCACGTGGCAGGAAGGGAAGATACACCCTCAAGAAGGACACGATCGAAGAGGAAGAGGATGGCTATCGAGGGTTTGGTATGAACATGTTGGTTGACACGCGAGCAGATGACAACGAACTATCTAAAATGATTGAACGCTCATTTCAAAACACCCATTTCTGTTGACCCCCCTCCGCTGCCCATTGTCTTCTTTCAATCGAAGTGTTCCTTCTGGGGCTCGCGCCCTGTCTTTTACAAGGGTTCATATGTGGACAGGGGAGCGTGTCCTACCTCCTCGGGTCCATTTGCCGCCCTCCTTCTCCGCTCCTCCTCCGCTCCCGCATCCCTCGTCGTTGACGTTCCCTGTGCGGCCTCTTGCCTGTCAATATGCTGCGTCGTGCCTTGGACACTGAACTACTGATCCAAAGGCGGCATCAACGGCCCCGCTCCACTCCCCAAACACTTCCTCCTGTTGACTCCGATCTTGCCCCACCTCCACTGGAGAGGTGCGTCTGGTTTCTGAAAATGTCACGCCCATCGTAACAAACCAACTGGCGTCATAACTCCAAACTGCCTGACAGGATATGCCAACATCTTTGGAGAACTACTGCCCTAGACAATTCCGTCCGTGGATAGCTACCGTCATGGAGAAGGCCATAAACAAATTATCCGAACAACTCTGGAATTCCGCCATGCAGGTAAACTCGTCCACACTTTGTTGAACAACACGACGACGAACATGCAAGCGGGTAGCCTGGCTCACAAAGCCCGGGATCAGCGCGTCAGCTTGCCGCGCGTCGTCCACACTAAGTGTCACCTGGGTGGCTTCAGGCAGCTGGATGGTGCGTAGATGAAAGCATCGGGAGGACCACAACGAACATGTGCCACCTCTACGCTAAGCATGGTCGCGGTAGATCGCCTGCCCGATACAAGTCGCAAACTACGACTTCTGACCTGGAAGGTGAAGCAGATAAGCAAGCACTTGGAGACACCTGCAATCGAACTCGTCGTCTGGCCGCCAGCCTGACACTTGATTGGTGTATCTGCATCTGTGTATGGCTCGGCACGGCGCCATAGCCAACACAATCCACAAACTCCTCCTGCTCCCCCAAGCTTCCTTCACCCCTCCGCACCTTCACAGCTCAGAAGATAAGAAAAGTCAAGCCCGCGCGCCGAGCCTGGAAACAGCGCCAATCCCCACGGCCCCACATCCGTGCGATTCCACCAGCCCGCGACCAATGCGGATACGGGAGAGTTCCAGCGACCTGAACGGCACATTCTGCCTCGTATCGCGGCGCGGCGTGGCGAGCCCGAACGGGTGGGGCACCCTGTCCAGGTCATCAGCGCTCTTTTCTGGCCCACGCTCCGAGGGAAAGGAGGGTGCAAAGCTGGGGTGCGGCCTCGCCCACCGTAACATCTGCCCTCACTTCACATCCACAATTTCAGCCTCCTGTCGCGCGGCGGGCCGGCCAGTCTGGTGAAGCCCGGTGCAGCCGGAGTCATGCCTGCTTCTTGGTTGCTTGTGAGGATACTGCGCAAACTATGCTCGTAAATACTACTGACAAGGGGGCGAGACAGCAGCTGGGTAGAATCTGGCCGCGGAGACAGAACCTGACAAGTATCGGGGCCTTGCCGAGATCCCTACGGCGACATGGTGATATGAGGCCGGCACAACATCGTTAGTGCCACGAAGTGAGACCATCTGCGCGGTCCAAACAAAAATCAACCACAATGCGGCTTCGAAACACCGAAGGGGTCTCGCCAAGGCCATGAACGAGATGACTTCCGTCACCAACACAGTATCGGATGCTTAACTACCCAACCAAATTCGACATACATGAAACATCGGCGACACCTACTCAAATGTGGCGACACAGAAATGTCGCCTTCGAAGCCTCCGTCGGTGTGGAATGACCCTCGCCTTCTCGAGTTCGCTTCTTGAGGACGGTACCGTCTTTCCTGAAGGAGATGTCGCGCGTCTCGCAAATCTCCTAAATCACGGGATGTGCAGAGAGACAGATGGACACACACACAAACCAAACATGGCGAGCTTGAAATAGCCCTGCGGCGCCACAGACGCGTGTATGGATTGACACAGCCTCGCGAATCATAGAGTGCAGGCAGCATGTAGTACACGCTAGCCAACGTGGACCCCATCAGACCAATTGTTTGCACCCATCGATGTGCAACAAACACGTTGCAAGCAAACTGCGTGGCCAAAGGTGTGTGGCGCAAGGTACATCTGTGGTGCCACCAGCGTTGTGCAAGCTGTGTGTTGAGGGCTCTGTGGCGGAAGCTGGGTGACCACAGGTGTGTGATTCAAGCTGCGAGATGCAATGTATGTGGCGCTGACAATGTGGTGCGAACTATGTGGTGCACCCAGCGCGCGGGACGTCCAAGAATTGCCAACGGGCGGCCGCAGGCTGGTCACCGAGCGAGACAGCGGCACACCCGTTCAGCGCATGGGGCGCCCGTGAGGCGCCCAAAGGTGGACATCGGGGGTCCCCAAACAACGCGGTCACAATCCGTGCGGTGAGCTCGAAACCCTAAACGAGAAAACCGCGCGTTCCGTCACAGCACGGTTTTGGGACCTTGGAGACCCCGGTCGCCTGAGACATCCTCGGAGAACGACCCTAGTCCCCCAACCGTGCGGTCATCCCGAGTCCACACTGACTCACCACACGGTGCGGTCACCGCATCGTCTTGAAGCCCCCGAACCACCAACAAGGGCTGCAAACAATACCCCGGCACACCCGTGAAGTTGATGAATGAGAGCCATCATAACCCCTGAAGGCAAACACTGTTCCCGGAATCCATATATTTCCATGGACTGCACTCGTACGGGCGATCTGCGTTCGAAGACTGTGTCATACAAAATCTGAGACTGAATGAGACTGCATACAAGCTGTGCGCGCGAGTCCCAAACTTAATAACTACAAGTGCAAGCCGCGCTATGATGTGTCAGAGGATGGGGAACATCATGTGTCAGAGAATAGGGGACACAGCAGCCACTATGGTGAACACGAAAGCAAGAGACTGTGGCAGTATGAGGCTTATGTCAAGACGTTGTGCATTATTGGCAAATCATGTGTGCGAGAATGCGCGATCTGAACCAGGCCCAAGCGAAACTAGAGTGGAGTTGCCGCCAAATGATTCCCACCACCATTAATGTGTGGAATTGGTGTCTGGTAGCCTTGCTACTTGGGCAATCCCCGAACAACGGGAGGAGCAATTTGTCACAAACCTGCACCTGCTGAGAAGTGTTGGATACGCAGAAATGTCCCGCAACTTGATGGTCACCTCCACGCCATCGGACCAATCTTCACATGAATAATCTTTGGTACACCTGGGACAAACACTACCATGCATCACATGAATGCCCTTCCCTCATGAAATATCTTCCCCCCTCCAACTTCCGGTAATACACACCCCACTTCCAAACAAAAAGAGACTGGCCGTCCCAATTTTTCCGTAGGGGCAAACAACCAGACAGAGCCATGTTCCTCGGCGAGGAGAAGGGTGAGGGTTGAGGGGACGTCGATGACGATGACGACGATGACCACCATGAGCACACCCGCGGCGACGATGAGAATTACGACCACGACCACGACCACGGCGACCATGACCACGACGACCACGATCACGAAGACCACGACGACGAAGACGACGACCGATCGACCACGGCGACGACGACGACGCACGACGACCACGGGCACGGCGACGACGACGGACGACGACGGATGGACGACGGCGGACGGACAGGACGGATGGGCGACGACGACCGGCACGACGACTGACGACAGCGGCGGCGAACGTCGGCGACGACGCCGGCGACAGGAGGCGGCGCGCCTCAACAGGGCCTCTTCGCCCTTCTTCATGCCCTGGCAGGGCGGGGGCGGCCAGTTGGGCGGACGGGGCAGTGCGTGCGGAGGCAGCGGCGGGCCCCATGCGGGGCGGGGGGGGAGGTCTTCCCCCCGTCGTGAAGGGCCCAAGGGCCGACTTCACGGCCTCGAAGTTCAGGCCTGCAGTCAGCTCTGAGCCCCCAGGGCTTCTGGACACAGAGCCACGCGTAGTGAAACAATTCACCCATGAAACCCTAGCAAATGAGTGGCGCACCCTGCAAGACTCATTCCGAACTCCGGGGATGGAGGAGGAGGAGGAGGAGGAGGAGGACGATGATGAGGAGCGATCGCCGCTGCAGGGGGGCGACGTCCGAGTCTGGAGTCGCCGATCACGCGCTATCCGAAGGCAACGACGCACGCGCTCTGGGCCTGACCCTAGCTGGTGGCGAAGCACACCGTGCAATCATTGAGCATCGGCCAATCTACATGAAGAAACTTCGCCAGAACACTTACGGCAAGGCGTCCACATGCTACGCACAAGCGCGGATCGTCGTCAATGTTGTCGCCGCTGCCGCCTCCGAGGCGTCATTGTGCGCCGGACGCCGCTGCCGAGGTCTGGTTTATGCAGCCGCGCAGGGCATCCGAACCCGCAAGAGGAGGAGGATGAGAAGGAGAAGGAGGAGGAGGAGGAGGAGGAGGAGGAGGAGAAGGAGGACACACAGTCAACGGAGCGTATGGACAGTAGCAGCACAAGCAGGTAGAGGGAATCAGGAGAGCAGGAGGCAGAGAGGAAAGAAGACACGGCGAGAGCAAGCGAGCGAGATAGGAGGCAACAGAGCAGGAAGGAGGGAGAACACGGCAAGCGGAGCAGCACGGGGACGGGAGACCAAGGAACCGCAGGCCAACCAAGTGAAACACTGTAGCGGCGTTAAGAGCGCCATCGGCGGCTCAAGCCACTAGACGATCAAGGCAAGTCCGTGGATACTGTTGCAAACCAGCGGCTCCGCTGCAGTAGGCGACGGTTCCGCCCAGAAAGAGACGGAGGCGGCCCCAACGTGAGGGAGCCACTGCTCTCATGCACGCGAGAGCCAGGCAAAAGCGCCACCCAGACAACTGAAGCAAAACACATCCATCACAAAGCATGCGCAGAACGCGAAATCACGCCCCATCCCTAAAGGCGAAGCGGGCGGCAAGGGGAAACGAGGAGGAGGAAGAGGAGGGAGAGAGAGGGAGAGAGAGGAAGCACAGTAGCAGTGTAAACGGTCGCCGTCGATGGCCCCGCCAGTGCAGGGCAGGGCGTCAATATGTCTGTCCTGAAGCGCCCAGGCTGGCCCTGGAGGCAGCCAGAAGTCCCAAGCATCCCCGGACTCAGCTGAGGATGATAGCCAGTGTGGCCCTGCCGCTGATCGAGGTCGTACCGCTGGTGCTGGAAGAGCTCTTCGATCTCCTGGTATCCAGTGTATCGCTGGAGCTGTGGGCCGTTGTGATCATGCCGAGTGGCGAGCTCGTGCCGCTGGCACCTTTTCGTCGGAGTCGTCTTTTGGGGCGTGTCGTCGACGCTGATGCTGTCTATGGTGGTCTGTGTCGATGTCAGGATGTGCTGTGTAATTGGTTTGGTCTTTACAAGGATTGGTGCTAACGTTGGTGGAGGGTGCCCCTGTCACCTGTCAATGTGGGGGCTGGAGGTTGGAGCCCTGAGATTGTAGAAGCTGGGGGTCAATAGATGGAGGTGGAAGTCGAAGGTCGAATGCCAGATGCCGGAGGCCAAAATGCCGAGCGGATGGAGACGTGAAGGGGAAGTATGCTGAGGAGGAGGAAAGGGAGGAGGAGGAGGAGGAGGAGGAGGAGGAGGAGGAGGAGGAGGAGGAGAAGGAGGAGGTAGGGTCGAAGATCGTTCACCTCGAATACTGTTTCAAGCCATTTCGGGCCTCTCGAGGCCACCGGGGCCCTGTGGAGGCCTCAGTGGCTTCCGGAAACTTCTGGGTGCCCCTGGAGCGGACGAGGGGGGGCGGGGCTGCGGAGGCCTGGTGGTGGCCGCTGCGCTCTCCCTTCCCCAGGGAGGGCATGGGGGGGCCTGGGCCTCCTCCCCCTCCTCCACCTCCTCCTCCTCCTCCTCCTCCTCCTCCGCCTCCGCCCCCGCCCCCGCCCCCGTCTCCTCCTCCTCCTCCTCCTCCTCCTCCTCCTCCTCCTCCTCCTCCTCCTCCTCCACCGCCAATTGTCCCCAAGGGGGTCCTGAGGGAGAGGGGAGCCAGAATCCCGAGTCCTGTGGCTTCCCTGGGGCCTCGTGCAATTCCTGGCAGCCCTGCAGTCCTCCAGGGGACCTTGCGGGAAGACCCCAGAGCCCAGGAGAGGGAGGAAAAGGAGGAGAGGGAGGAGAGGGAGGAGAGGGAGGAGGGAGGAGGAGGACGGAGGAGGGAGGAGGGAAGGGGGAGGAGGGAGGAGGGAGGAAGGAGGACGCCCCTCTTGGGCGCTCCCGGCGGCGGAGCGAGGAGGCTCGCCGTCGACGTGGGGGTCCTCGGTCGTGGTCGTCGTGGCTGGCGCTGCGGTCCTCGTGTGTTTTCATCCTCGATGATGATGATGATGATGATGCTGATGATGATGATGCTGATGATGACGGCGGTGATGATGATACTAAAATGATCATGATGATGATGATGATGATGATGATGATGCTGCTGATGCTGATGCTGATGTTAATGATGCTGCTGCTGCTGCTGATGATGATGATGATGATGATGATGATCGACCGTACCTGAGGCGAGCCAGTTCGCACGCATCGTCAGCCGCTTTAGATGTCAGTGGCGTGCTGTGCTGCTGCGAAGGCGGCTCGCTGTTGGCTTGGCGTGAGCTGGTCCCCATGGGTCACCGCAGCTTTCGCCTTATGGTAAGTATGGAATGCCAACACGGCCAAACGCAGCGCATCAGCGCGCGAGAACGTGCAGCTCTCACAATTGTATTCGTTGTCGGCCGCTAGGCCGAGGAAAGTCAGTGGGTTGGAGGGGAGGCCGACGAGGGAACGGAGGACGGGGCAAGAAAAATAATGGGCAATGGAGTCAGTCTGGGCGCACCCAAAAAGGCAATTGACGATCCCACGCACGTGGATTCGATGGCTGGTAGTCCAGCCGCCTGCGAGGGTCTTAAGGATTGACCACTGCCATGCAGGTTTGAACTTCTTAATCGTTGCAAGACAATCCCCCCCACCGCTCCGCCACCCCGCCCACGATGCTATCAGCAAGACCCCAAGCGTTCAGACGCTTGGAGATAGTGACTTCAAATTTGTTGGGGAAGAGGTTGAGGCGGAGGAAGGAGGAGATCGCACGCTGGAGCTTGGGCTTCTTGCCCACCGCTTGCGCCGCACGGGTTTCCATGCGGCCTGCTGCATGCGAGGCTCTCCACTGGACAATTGGGATGCCTCGGCGGGGTGGGCGATTCACTAAATCTGCGAAACGCTGGGCGATCCCCTGCTTTTGGATCCAGCAGGGGGCGCTCCACTCTCCTTTGATCCAGTCAACGACGGGGCAGGTCAGCGCCGCCGTTTCGCGCCACCTGTCGAGCTCTGCTGCCCAGTCAGTGATCGTGAGAGTGGAGCAGCGCCACATACTAGCCGCTCCTAGGATCAGGGCGGACTGTGGGGCCACTAAACCGTGTCCCGTGAAAGAGAAAACATCTGCTTTGCGAAACGTGCCGGGTGGAAGCCGAAGGACTTTGTGGATGGCAATTTTTTCCTTCAGGAGGGCTTCGCGATCCATCGGGAAAAGTTGGGCAAGGTAGCTTAAAGTAGATAACGCAGTACTGTTGTATAGCAGCAGACTGACACTGGTGGGGCTCTCGGATTTGGGAATGTCAAACGAACGAGCCCACCACTTGGCGACCGCTTCCTTCCACACAAGCGCCTCCGACGCCCCAGGCCCAAACTGGACCCCAAGGTATTTGGTGTAGGAAGCGATCTTCATATTTGTCCATTGGGGAATATGCTCGCGCAGGAATCCCCGAATTCGTGCTACGACTGCCTCTGAGAGCTCTGTCCAGAGAGGGACGATGACAGTTTTGGAAGTCTGGAGGCGGAGCTTAGCAAGCTCTTCTGCATCCTGAAAGACTGGAGCGACGCGGCATAGGTCCTCGAGTCTAGGTTGAGCAAGGCCTGTGTCGTCCGCACACCCACCCACCTCCCCGCGCCAGTCCCCCAGAGAAGGATCAGCGGCTTGCTCAACCAGACATCTCAGGATGGGGTCCATTGCTAGAGCCCAGACCGAGCCTGAAAGAGGGCACCCTTGCATGACTCCAGACTGCAGGTAAAAGAGAAACTGTTTGGATCCCTGGACAGAGGCGAAACTGCGGGGCCCAAAATACAGGGAGCCGATGAATTTCTGGTAGCCTTGCGGAAGGCCAGATCGAGCTAAAACTGCCCAGAGCCAATCGTGCCCGAGGCTTGGGAAGGCTGCAGCTATGTCGAATGCGACAAACACTGGGGCGTGTGCGTCTGCATTCGGCTGTACACTCATTCTACGCGCTGCGCTATCTAAACGAATAATATTCCCGACAAAATTGCGGCCAGGAGCAAAACCTTGTTGGACGACATGGGTCCGAGATTGGACCAGGGCCTTGATTCTATGGTTGGCCGCTGAGGCCAAAATCTTGGAGTCCGAATTACGTAGCGACAGCGGTCTAATTTGAGAGGGCTTTCTGATACATTCGTAAGCATCTAGGGGCTCAGAACCTTTGGGAAGGAAAGCGAACAGGGAATCGTTCAGATCCTCGGGAACGTAGTCACCTGCGAAGAGGTGCAGCATCAGGCCGTGGAGGGTGTACAGTTGCTCTTCGGCTACCATCCATGCCCGATATGGTAACCTATCTGGACCTGGCGAAGAGTGACGAACACGTTTGAGGGTAGCCCTGAGGTCATCAACACTCGGGATCGGGATCGGGACCTCAGGGGCCGACGGGTAGACTCTGTCTAGGTGAGCCACGATTTTGTTTTTGTCGGCCGATTTGTAGCGGAAAACCTTCCCCCAGTAGGCAGCAAGAGCTTCATGAACTTC